CCCAATCGTTCATTCCTGAAGAATAAACCGAACCCAACAAAAAAAAAAACATGGAATTCGAGGGAGAAATTGGTAGAGATAAATACATCGACAGCAAGGCGGGTGGATTGGAGGTTGGCCGGAGAAGGATCGGCGAAGAGGGTTTCAGGAACAGCTGCCTTGTTCAGGCTCTTGGCTTCCAGCATCTCCTTTTGGGCTAGAGTTATTCTTCTTTTTTAGGCTCGATAGCAAGCTCAAGCTACTTGAAAGTCTTGTTTTTTTTTCTGTGAGCGTCACAGTGTATTGAGCTGAGGGGCAGTGATGGTGTATTGAAATGGTAGGCAATATATTACACCATATGGCCTAATCATCTCTTAAAGCTACTTTAAATCTAAAACTCTCTAAATCATCATTAGTAGCAACATAAGCTAGTTTAAATTCAAAACACAGCTCAAAACTATCTGAACTCCACAATATCCTATCACCTGCATTTTACCACACAACAAATTAATGACCTCGGCGGGGCCAATCTTCTGAACGGACAATTTGTTATGCTCATGTGCTGAAAGGCGGTCCTTAGTGAACAAAGCCCAAACAAAATCCCTGACCTCAAATTCCACATGCCGTCGACTACGATCCGTCTGCCTCTTATAAGCTGCCATCACTGCCTCCAAGTTGGCCCGGGCAGTCGCATGCGTCTGTTTGAGCTTGGCTACTAAATCCGCGGCACAACGGTCGAGTGGTGCCATCACCGGTAAGGCCACCAAGTCAGCCGGCCCAGCGGTTGTACCGCATAGACGACCTGAAAAGGCGAAAGACGAGTAGCACGACTAACGGCCGAGTATACACACTACGATCATAATTTTAAACCTCTCTTCGGCTACTTATTTTATTTTCCTACAACTGCTCTGTTTTCTCCATTTTTCATCTTCTTTGTGTGTATTTGTGGTTTGCTTGCTTTTTCTTTCTCTCTCTTTTTTTTTTCCTGAAGTTTTTTCTAGAGTCTAATATAAATCTTTTCCAACAAAATTAGCAATAAAAGGTTGCAGCAACAACATTCTTCGTTTTCTAGAATAATATGCACACCATAATCAGTCTGCAAATGACTCATTTCTAAACTCTCTGTTCCTTCCTTTGTCCTTTTTTTTTTGGTACATGGACCTTCCGAATTCCGGATACACAGGGGAACCGACTAATCTGGAATCGAGCCGGGTAGGACCACAAGCAACAAACTGTGGTCAACATTTACAGACAGATCAACAGCAATTGGCATTAATATGACATTTGCCTAGTTTCTATAGCACCTTGTAGCCATCAGCATATAAATATAATAGAACATCAATTAACATCAATTTGACGTTTGCCTAGTTTTGACAACACCATGGTCATCCACATATCCAATTTCCACACCAAGTACTTTTTCATTTTCAATCACCATCACAACACTAGTTTTCATAGCATCTACAAATTCTCGACTCTAGAACTTCCCTTCGATTGCATCTCCTTCTGCCTCCGAGCTAGCCTTGACCTTGCCTTCTGTTGTGCCCTTTGCATTTGCACTCGAGCTTTGCTGTTGCATTTCCTTCCCAGTTTGTTTCCGAGCTTCCCTTGGATACTTCTGTTGTCTTAGCTTCCGACCAAATGATTTATAGATAGAGATGCTCAAACTCCAAAAATTATCAGCCTCCACTCTACCTCGAAAATGCATAACCTAATTCATCAATGAAAAATATCATTTAGGAATCAGTAACTATTTGTTAATAATATTAAAATAGGAGAATTATAATCAACAAACCCATTGTTGCAAGTCTCTAATGGTTTTTGTCAATATAAAATGTCGTTCAGGGATTGGGAGATGTGCATACAAGCCTTTGTATTCCTGAATGATAACAAAATGTAATATATTTTTTTATTATAATTTAATGACATAAGAAAATATGAGCATGTATGCAATATATATAATTTTACCTGCCAAAATGATCTCCTTATAGATATCATTTTATCACAAACTCCTGTGATGAACATCCTGATGGACGATAACTCTGCCTTAAACGGGATGATAGCACGAACTGTGCGTATGGCATCTACAACTTCTGAAAGAAGCTCCTCAACAGGCAGCTGCTCTAGGCACTAAGCATAAGCATAGATATAATTAAGTTGTATTAAATAAAAGATCAGTACAAGTTTTCATATTATATATGATGAATTTACTAAACATAAAAGATTCTCACCTTAATTTGCCGTTCTAAATGGCCTTTCAAAATTGAAGGATCCACCTCTATACCTTTCTCTGCCTTCACTGCTTCGTGCTCATCTTCAATTTTTAAAATTTGATCCAATAATGCATGTGCTACATCCCGAACTCTAGAAGGCTTATAATAGCACTTCTACAAAAGGGATTTAGCCAAAAAAAAAAAAAAAGTCAAAAATTCAAACAACATATTCAAAACTAACTAAAAAAAATAATTCCAAGAAACAAAGAAACCAAAGGCAGTAAATTTAGACCATCCAAAAGTTTATCTTACCCCACGGCTGCCGATGTCAAAACGTATGCACTCTACGGCACATGACGGATCGATCTCATCCTCAGCTCTATTGATCTCAAAATTAGGGACGATACCACTGTCAACTATCACTTCTTGGATTTCAATTTGTTTGTCTCGAAACTTATTTTTTTCGAGTGTAAATTGAACTCATAGCTTCTGAGAAACAAAGGAAAATATTAGACAAAATGAAATCATGTCAATACTAACCGTAAAAAAGAATCACACCTCATTCTCTTCTTTGAGCAAAATCCGGAACTTGTGGAGTGTCCGTGCTGACCAGTCACACGCTAGTGAGAGATAGAAGCAGTGATCAACTGTATGGGAGAGAAAAGATGTAATGTCCTGTTTACATACACGAAAAGCTGGAGTCAATAAAAATGCGAATATACCATCAATACATGTTAACACGTGTAAGTTTTTCTGTATATATACCATTACACTCTCAAGTAAGGATCTTGTGCTTTCAGCGAAGTCGTTGAGCTCATCAATCATGGCGCTACACTCATCGCAGGAGCACACCTTACGAAAACTATAGTTGGGTGGAAATATGTTCGCCGACCGAACGTTTGATATTTCACGTGGCTTCCAGTAGTCGACTTTTTCATGAGACATGCATAGCAAATATTAGGGAAGGAGATAAATGTAGAAGTTCGGCAAAAATAATCATGTTTACTAAGATTGTATAAACAAATATTGATACAAAGAACGGGTGAAATTATACGTAACAGTAGAAAATCAAGCAAGACCTGGAGAAAAGAGAGTGAAAAAAAAACTCCCAGATAAGTCATACTCTACTTTTTCGAAAAGCCTACCTTCTATGAAATTATCTGATTCAACTTGCACTGCTTGAAGTGGCACAGTTTGTTCTGCGTCAATTAAACCTGATACCCACCATGAAAGTTAGATAGGAACAAGAGAAAAAAGTTATTCAAACTGACAAGTGAAAAAATAACAGATGATGTTAGACCTGGAGGAGGAGGCTGACCCAATCCCGACATGGTTCCTAGGAATAAACACAAGAATGAAATTTCAGAAAGTATGAAAAACTAGGGCAAAACCGGTGACGACGAGCGAGACAATGATGACTTGCCAAGAAAGATTTTACAAGTGCTACCTGGTTAGAGAGACGACGGGCTGCGTGAGTTCTTGGAGGGTGAGAGACAGAGAGACGACGGGGAGGGGCTGTGAGTTCTTGAGATGGGCCAAGTTACTGAATTAAAGACAGAGACACTCCTTGTCCTTCTTAGATTAAGTTTTCCATCAAGGCAAGTGTATATTTTAGCCAAAACTACCTTAACTCACTCCTTGTCCTTCTTAGATTAAGTTTTCCATCAAGGCAAGTGTATATTTTAGCCAAAACTACCTTCACTAGGCAAAAATTCAATTTTGGTCCTCTAAGTTGTCCATTGTTCATTTTTGGTACGGAAAATGCTACATGTCCATAATAAATGTACATAAAGGTGTACATAACACTCACATGGAGTAGGGTCCACTTGATTTTGTATTTTTAGTGGGTCTCACTCAATGTGAGTGCTATGTACACCCTTATGTACACTATTATGTACTTGTAGCATTACTCTTTTGGTACACCAACTTTCCCCTCATCAACAATAATACGTTATGTTGCAGTTTGTATCACTATTGGGACATTATCCCAAAAATAGTTCATTATTTTCTAGGATTAATGTCCAAAAAATGATGCATATTGCAAAATAACGTACTATTTTTTACAAGTAATGTCCCGAAAATGATACAAATTAGGACATAAGGTACAATTATTGATGAGTGGAAAATTAATGTACCAAAAATGGACAATTACCAACTTAGAGGACCACAATTGAATTTTTTCCTAACTCCTAACTACAGTTATTATGTTTTTTTTTTCTTTTATTCTTGTTTAACCGATAAATCATCCTCATCCTCTTCTCTTTATCGCAAATCTAACTTTTCAAAAAAAAAAAATAATAATAATAACCGACAAATCCTCATTTCGTCTTTGTTGCAGAGAAAATTTTTCAAAGCTTTTCCCCAAATTCATCTCCCAAAATTTTACCCGTCCAACCTCAGGCAAATTGGCTTGTTAGTACAATAACTGAATTTTCTACGAAATTATTTATGAGTTTCTTTTTTCTTTTTCTTTTTTTTTTTTTTACATGTTTATGAATTGGGTTTTTCATGAATGGGAGTGATCAAGAGCTTGAAGATGAGGTCAAATCCCTGGTGGTGCATCTGAGCTCTGGTTTCGAGCTCTGGCTCGGCTGGTTTCGGCTTCCGATTAGGTTATAGGAAAGAGTAAGTTATAAGGTTTTGTTTTAATTCTTAATTGAATTTAAGATGCTTAATTCGTCGAAAGCGATATGCCGACGCCATCAATCTAAGTCCATTTTCATTATATCATGTTTGGATTCCACCGATTTGCTGACGCCGTCAACCTAAGTCCATTTTCATTATCTCATGTTCGGATTCCGCCGACGCCCGAAAGCAACTTTTTTTTTTACAATTTTAATTGCTTAAATTTTGAGTTGTTTTTCACTTTATGTAACTTCCTTTTTTTATTTAAAATTAATTCAAACTTTTTTGCATTATCTTTTTCTTTTATTTAATGTTAATTAATAAAGTCTTGTGTTTAATTTCTTACTAGTGTTGATACAGTGCGATGC